AAAGAGAAAAAAAAGCCATATTCAGAGTTTTCTTTCTGTACAAATTCTATTTGGAAGTATAAACCCAGAAATCTGAGGAGGGAGGGAAGGAAGGAAGGAAAATATTATTTTCTTGTTTGTCTTTGCTGACAAACTGGAATTCTCACTGACTGATGAAATCAAAAGTGATATTCATGGTTAACAATGAAAAAAAACCTGCAACTAAGTTTTGCTAATATTAACTGCAGCAGCTTCCTTTTAAACACACACACACACACACATATATATATATATATATATACATATAATTTTTTTTAGAAAGCCTGTAACAGAAAACATTAACTTAATATTAATTTAAAACACACTGTGATTTAACTCCCCTCCCCCAAAAAAACACTAAAACTATTTTCTTACCCTCCTAATTGCTGTTTTTCCAGACATTTTACATTTATTTTGAGTTTTTCAGAAGAAAACACTACTCGTCTCTTCGTTTGGCCAAAGTAATATGCAAGATATCTGTTTTCATTTGAAAGAGGAAGTGTAGTTTAAGGACATTAATTTAAGCTATCAGAAATGGTATGCAAATATAAACAAACATTTTTTTTTTTTTCTTTGCAAGATTATTCACTAGTACTTCATTATAGGTAATAATAAAAAAAACCTCTTTGGGTAGAGTAAAATATACCAACATTTCACTTCTGCATGTATTCACTTGCAGACTAAATAGACATCCTGTTATGCTGTGGTATTTAACAGCAGTAGACAGGCAGTAAATTACACTTTAGTAGCTCTAGGAGTTTTTTCTGGACTAAGTAAGCCATTTCTGTCTTAGAAATTACATAACTGGTGCATGCAATAAAAGAATATTTACTTTTAGATGAAACTCTAGTATTACTTCACAATGGCACATACTCTAGTGTCCAATGATTAACTAGATCAGGCACTTCACCTCTGATTTAATCTCTTTGGTAGATAGAGTTCACACTTGCACTTGCCTGACTTAGCTAGACATTTTAACGAAGTTCTGTATACAGTCCACTCTCACCACACATGCTCCTAATGAGCCTGACTGGTTAGTGGTACACATGCTACTACCTGCTGTATCACAACCCCTGCTTAGCAATGCAGGGCTAGCCACAACTCATTTTGTCTGAGAACGACTGAAAACATTGAAGGGCTCAGGAGAGTGAATACAGAAGGTGACACTGGGAATACCTATACGGACAGCACGAGACAAACTTCCTGTTACTGTAAAGGTAAGGAGTGTTTTATAAATGTGTTAATCCATTCTCACCCAGGAAATGCTCTTACCACTGCTTCAAGTACTGCAGAAATAAGAGCATCTATCTGGTTAAATAACTGAACCTACTCTCAAGAAGCTGTTTCTTATGTGTCATCTCTACTATTATTTCTCAGGGAGCACTGAGGTTGTAAAGTTCTATAGAGGATTCAGTGAGTAAAGGTACTTCTGCAAACTACTAGCAATGGGATGGCCTTTTACCTTCTCTGTGAAGGTTAAAGGTAACTTTGGAGATCATCTACAGCATTTTGTCCACCTCAAACAAATGCCTTATGTACATCAAAATTACACAAATTAATCTCACTGTGATTAAAATCGAGCTTTTGGAAAAGAGACAGCCATAGCATCACCTGAAAAGGAGTCTGATATGTAGGAATTTAAGGTGAGATTGAACATTCTTCATTCTATGTTCTGTGCCCAAGGTAGGGGTTTTCCCCTGTTTTTCTGACCAAATGCTACTTAGAAAGAGCTTTAGATACAAGAGAAAAACGTATTGCCATAACCAAAACACTATCTGCTAGTAAATGATGCTACATGATTACTTCAGAGGTAGGTGAAAAAAGCTCTCAAAAAAACTCCCCAACTTTGGGATATTATACTTAAATCCCTTAAAGAAAACTATATAAATCACTATTGATAGGTTCATAATCATGAACTGCCAGAAGACAGACTCTTAGCGTAGCCCTAAATTCTCTAAAAATAATTATCCCAATATCACAGCAATGCCTGTATCAGGAAAGTTGTGCTATTTATGGGAATAACAGTGATTGTATCAGAGGTTTCCTACTCTGAATGCAAACATTTTGTATTTCAGTCTGCATGAGAAACCTTTTTTCCTGAATTATGACACCAAAAAATATTATATATGCCACAGATTTTCAGCCTCAAGAGTTGTCTTCAAATTTTTTTTGGAACAACCTTTCCTTGGAAAATTATTTCCCCAAAGTCTTTTCTGTAATCTTTGGAAGTTTAAGAGTCAATTAAATTGTGCCATGGTTAGCACATAGAGTCTTACAGTTTGAAATTCTGAGCTGTTAAACCACTGATGAGTAATTTTTTCCACCTCCAAATATAATCTATTGCCTCATCTCCTCTTTTCTTTCCCTGACACCTAGGCTAGTTTCTAACAAGTATTTGCAGGAAAGTTCAGTAGTGCTTCATTAGGTGGAAAATAATAGTTCCCCAAAAATATATATAAGCTGTCCAATAAGTTTTGAGGAATTTCCTGCAGCTCCTTGAATAAGAATTGCATGATTCAATGACAGTCAAGATTTCAGGGGTTTTTAAATTATTATTATTATCCTAAGCAATGAGTTCAAATTAATATAATCACCAACAGTAAATAAAAAGGTATTGCCCTATAGGAGAGAACATGTGAATTTTTCTTCCTCTTGATACCTGGCAGAATCTTGTGTTAGGAAATGCTTAAACTGTGTTACTTCTCTCTCTAACATTATGGAGCTTCTGCAGGCTTTGCCCACAGTAAGTAACTGTGTAGTTCCTACATAACTACATTAGCGTGACTACAATTTGGAGTCCAAGGACAATGGTGCCTGAAACAAAAATGAGTATCCTAGTAATGGAGAAGACACAAGTTTGACCTTTTTAAAGGTATCTTTTGAGAAGAATTGGCTCAACTCCTTGAGGTGGAATCAAGTTCTTAGGCAAGACTGGAAAATTAATGTCATAGAAAGTCAGTCTTGCACAAAATTTCTTGTTTCAAAATCTCAAAACCTCAGTGACAGAGGCACATACCAGAGTAAGGAATACAAGAAGAATAAATAGGAAGGAACAAGAAAAACATTGTGATAGACTTCCAAGAGCTTCTGGGGAAAGAAGGAAGGGCTTGTATAATAAATACAAAAGCCAAGATCCCCCAAAGTACCAATGTTAATATATGCCATAAGTTTTGAAAGACTTTTCTAAGAAGAGATTGGAATAAATGTGAAAAAAGAACAGACTGGCAAATACTCTACACTATGTTCTGTGTCTGTAATTTTAGATAAGAATTGATGCATCTGGCTAGGCTCTGAGGCAGAGGAAGACCTTAAGTGGAACATCTGCATGCATACACAAGCACCATGCAAACATTTGAGGAGCATAGAAGGTCAGTCATCCCAGAGAGATTAATTAATGTTTAAACTAATCTCAGTCAAAATGCCATAATAAATGGCACATATTCATCCCACTTACATGCTTGGATAAATTTCCAGTCAATAACCAAACAAGAATGAAAAGGTAAAAGCTAGCATGCTTTCCCAGTCTGAGGTTCTCTCCTGTTACTGCAGTTTGAGGAAGGCAACTGCATCTCATACCAAGTTGAGTAAGCAAGTGCAGACAGCCATGTGGAAACAGAGGAAGAGCTCTTTTAGGTTTGATCTAAGTACATTAAGCCAATTTTTCCTTTATTTTCTGCTTTAAACTTTTAAGGGAGGCTGGCTATTTTGACCCTGGAAATAAAAACTTCTTTTTAATCTTAAATTTGCACCAGTTAAGCTTGATTTTAAGGCAACTGGTTCACAAAACACATTCTACTCTTCTAGACAGAGCAAGCCTCCCAAAGTCACTCTGGAAAAGACTAGAACTAAGATCACAATGCACTGTATGAAAAAGGCAACATAATTCCACTGAGCAGTAAGGATAAATGTAGGCAATAATATGCCAGGTTAAATGTGCAGAAAATGTCTTCTGGTTATTCATTAGCTACAGCAGCTCCTTTATCCTGCAGTAAGACAATAGAAACAGCCAGAACTTTACTGTCCCCAGAAAAATACACCAAAATATGGAATGCTTGAAGAAAAAAGTGGTTTTATGCTTTGGAAAAACCCTTTTAAGAAGGACTGTAGAACACCAAGGATACAAATTTATTTTTAAACTATTGCATTTAAACTAAAAAAAAAAAAAAAAATAATAATAAAAAAAATTGTTTCAGCAGAGATCTGGTTACATTCAGAGAACATATTTTTCCAGATTTCTTTTCACACAAAAATATTGTGTCTTGTACTGGCATTTAAGGAATGAAAAACTAAAATCCAGGGTCAAAATTATCCAATTCAAAAATTGAATAAGAGGAGAACATCTGAAGATTTGAGTCTGAATTTGCAACTAGCATGACTTAGCAATATTCCCAAATAAAGCAAGAGGTACATCGCAGTTTATGACTATACATTTTGGCATATTCCCCAAATGAATATTTGGGGACTCTAAACTGTACTAGCACCAACAGGAGCTAGTAGGAGCTCACTAATAGGAGACATTCATAATGGTCAGAATTCAATTTTACTGAAGATCTTATCAACAAGAAGAATTTCCACATGACTTCTGGGTGATTGCTTTGCAAAATGGTAAAAAGTTCTCATTTATCTGACAAATAACTAGCAGGGGCTTAACCATATCATGCAATTTTAGAGAAAAATGAAAATTAACATCTACAATGAATGCATTCTCTCTGTGCAATTAGACAATAATTAAATGCTTAGTAGCAGCAAAACATTAGGAAAAAAATGTTGAAAAACAAACAATAATCAAAGAAGTGACTTGTCTAACTGTACAACTTCACTAGCAATAACACCAAGAGCTTCACTATATTTTTTGGTAATAGACAGAACAATTAACAGAACACCTTCACTAGTACACTTTCTAGGAAGGAAAAAAAAATAAAAAGATGGCAGTATTCTCAGACTTCTCTATGAGAAAAAATAACAAAAGATGCTTAACAATTTCCTGCAAGACTTTTTAAATAAAAGAATAAACTTTCTTTTTTAATAGATTCCTCATCTCACTGCATGTCATCATGAACAAGTTTTGCTCTTTTTCTTAAAAAGGAATGAGGTGTAAGTCAACTTTCTACATAACTCAATAAAATTACCAACAATATCTAGAATATTACAAGTGCTTCCATAAAATCTGAATTTCACAGTATTCATTTCGCAATTTGTTGATAAGGATTCACCTTTCAGTTCAAGAGAACCCTGAACACCTTTTATAAAGGTGATCCTAATTAACCACTGCTTACAACTGCCACTTTACAGCAGAGGCACTGATCAAGACATAGCCTTGGTCTAGAGCCATCCAAGTGCCAGCCTGCATTTACAGCAGCACCTATACAGGAAGAGGTCAGCATAAGCACCAGGCCAGGGCCCCTGCATCCATAGGAAGGATACTTCCAACCAGACTGTTTCCTCCATGAAGCAACTTAAACCTGAATTTAAGAATAAGTATGGTTTTAGGCTAAAAACTTCTTAGCTTCAAATAAGGTAACTCCCAGTTTAGACTGAAAAAATAGTTCTTAATGAGTATATGTATGACTGAAAGCACAGTTCTAAGATAAACACAGAACAAAACATTTTCTGCATAAGCTCTAGGGAAGTGGAAGGGGAAGCATATTTCTACTAACATGAATCATAACAATTATGCATGTTTCTTACCTGTTTTTTCTATGAAAAGTTGGTAAAAGTGTTTATCAAGCTCCCTCACAGCTAGCATCAAAAGCATGAAGAGCCTAGGTCCAGAGTCTCCCACATGCATTTAATTCTTGTCTCATCCTCTTCTACTGGAAATCTTTGACCATTATAGAGTCCGGACACCTCTATAACTATAAAATATAAAAGAAATACCTGGGCCCCCCAACAGTGTCCTCTTCAAACAGATATCAGAGAGATGCTCACAGTTTTGCCATGCCTACGCAGATAAATGTTGGTTAAACATGAAATTGTCATCCAGCAGAGGAATCAGATACAATTTTGCATTTTAAACACTTCTGGTCTAAAATAAGGTCTTAGAGTTTTAAAATAACAGAATCTTCTACACTAGATAAAATAACCCTTCCGATTCACTATCAGTATGGTATCATACTGTCTACATGCATAGTATGTACGTAGTCTACATGGGCTGACACAGCCACTAAGAATGAAGGGCCAACCTCTCCAGTAGATAATACAGCAAAATGCCCGGTATAGTCAAAAGGAGCTCCAAGTGCTTGAGAAGTTTGGTTAGAATACCATTTTAACACCTGATCTAAACTCATCTACATCTGTAGGCTTGGTATGAGCATTAAAGAGTTTACTAGGCAGTTACAGAATTTCAATTCACTGAATCACAGAATGGTTGAGGTCGAAAGGGACCTCTGGACATCATCTTGTCCAACTCCCTGTTCAGGCAGAGTCACCTAGAGCAGGCTGCCCAGGACTACTTCTAGACGACTTTTGAATACTTCCAAAGATGGAGAATCCACAGCCTCCCTGGGCAATCTGTTCCAGTGCTTACTCATCCTCACAGTTAAAAAAAAATAAAATAAAAAGAAGAAGAAAAAAAAAAAAAAAAGCCAGCATTTCCTTACGTTCAGAAGTCTGTATTAACAGAGTCCATCAACACTTCCATTATTCTTCCTAATAAAAACAGTTTCCCAAGAAAGTCACTGGGGAATTTCAGCAGGTAAAAGAAAATCTGAACGCTCTTCTATTAAATTTAAGAAACTAAGTCTGACGGTACCTGCCACTGCCATGTAACACAAAGAAATGGTAGAATAAAAATAAGAAGTTCAGAAGATCAACATTTGTGTGGCAAACAATTACATCACTTTAAGGGTTTCATTTGAGTATGCAGAAGGAAAGCTTGGATCAAAAATCTGGAACAGTGTTCAAATCCCAAGCTAATCATTTTGGAAGACAGCCCATGTTAACGTGCCTTAATTTAAAATGCTGCACATGAACCAACTGTTAAAAGTACATTTGTGTTGACCTGACTTCAAGAAGAATTTATTCACAACATTCCATTCTGCATAACATCGCAAAGCCAATGTGAGTTTTACAAATCTCAGATTATGATACAAATCTGTGTACATTGGTTCTCTAAATATCTTGCCTCTATCTTTATCATAAATTGATAAAACAGGATTTAAATTTTAAGCTCTATCTCTGACTACAGGAAGTGTTGGAAATTGCTGTATCTGGAGCTACTTGCAGATTTTGCAATTTTTATCTTGGACACTGAAAACGTGGAACGTCGTTCAGCACTAGTTAAATCCTGGTTTAAAGACAGCTCTTTCAATTCCCTCACACTAATTCATCTCCCTGTAATCTATATTTCCTTAATGGAGTTAAGTTTCTACCTTCACTAATCAAGATCTACAAGAAATTAGCAACAAGGTCTCGCCTGACTATTTATGAAATGACATAGCACTTCTCTAGTTTGATGTCCTCCATCATGACATTTTCATAGATAAAAAAAGGAAAAAAGTTTAACAAAGTCTAGGTTTGAAGAGAATATTTGCAGCAGCAGCATGTACCATTTTAATTTGGCTTCATCTGCTTAATGCATTTAGGGAGACATTAAGGAAAAAACAGTCCTTGTAAACTACTTAAAATTCTCATTATAAGCCTTTCTGCAATTTAACTGAAACCTAACACAAATCTACGCCAAAAAGATTTTCATCTGAAACTAAATACAAGTCACTCAAATCAAGCATTTTATCAGTTTGAATAGAATTCGAGGCAGATAAATCTAATCTTCTGATTTTTCTATTATTTATTAGAAGAAACGCACAGGTGACTGAGTATGCCCAAATCCCAAAGGACTAAAAGAGTTCATCCATGTATAGCAACTCAAGAAGGTCTTTTCCACAGAAGGAAGTCTATAATTTGATTAGTATACAAAGAATATAGAACTTCTGACATTTCCTTCCATACTGGGATATATCTATTCTAAGCGCATAAGACTTCAAATATTAGAAAAGAATGAACAACCTGCTTTAGGGAACACACCTGTATTACAGATCCCAACCAAGTTCACCTTCCGTAGATAACTGAAGTCACACCTGCAGCACTGAAAAAGAGAATGTTGTCAGCTTTAGAACATATTCAGATCATGTTTTCTCACCAAAGTTTTGGTTTGTTTTTGCTTGGTTTTTTTTCAATCCTTTAGACTATAGTATCAATCCTCCAAGTCTCAGTTACAATTTCATCTGTATTGCAATATTACAGCTCTATCCAGAATTGCTATCCTTCCCTTTCCTGTCTTGAGACAATATTGTCCCATTATCAGATCACATACAACAAAACCACTAGGATAGGTTTTCTTTGCATTACAGATGACATGCCTCCACCATCCGCCTTTAAATTCTCAGCCGTTTCCTTTTTTTTTTTACTCCAATAACCATCAACTTTTCTTCATTTTCAAAATACTTTCATAATTCTGAGCATCTATTCTGCTTTCTTAATCCGCCACACATCCCACTCGAGTTGTAATAAGCTTTTTTTGTCATGAGCTTCTCACATCAAACATAAACATGCGTAAGTAAGTCAGTATCTCTGATACCACGTGAACTTTTCAAACAGAGATTAGAATAGTATCAATCTGTTAGAAAGTAGAGCACAACCGACCAAAAAAAACCTACTGTTGGAAGCTATGACCTGCTTTCTAAATCAAAGCTTAGAGGCATAATGTTTTTCTTCTTCCACCTGAGCTATCATCCTGATTATCTGAGTAACACTAGCTACTTTGTTTTCTGGGACCCAGGATTTTCCTCCTGATTAAAATTTCTTAAAACATCTGCAAGAGCAATTAAAAGACTGGAAGTTTATTAATAAACTTCTGCACAGTAACCAATGCAGATGTAGCACCTGATACCGGATGCTACACTACATTTCAGTTTCCTAAATATTTAGAGAAGCCATATCATTTCCATGTGCTTTATGATTCATACAAAAAGTCTTTACAAATATAATGCCCTAAATATCTCTTTATTTTTCAGCATTCTGACATTACAGCTCAAAGGAAGCACACAAAGCAGGAAAAATTAAAAAAAAAACAACAGTTCAGACTCACTAAGAAAGAACTGATATTATAAATCACTTTCTTGGGGACAGCATAAGACACTCACCTTAATGAATGTAGTAATGACGATCTTTCCAAATCTGAAAGTGTCATCAATATATTCCTATTGGAAAAAAACAAACATACACCAAGTTTTACAAGCAAGATAAAAAAAATTTATGAAACATAAATCAAGTTAATTTAATAATACAATACAAGTCCAACCATGTAAAATATATTTCCACAGAGGAAGAACAGTTATAGAGACTACAAATACAAAATGAGAGGAAATGCAATAAATTTTACTGAGAAAAATATTTACTATTATTGTAACCTAACTTCTAAACTGGTTCCCTGAGCAATGCACAAAATAACTATTCCCTGAATTCTGTTCTCTTTATAAAGCTGAGAAACCCCCCAGAATTCCATCTCCATGATCTTCATTTATTGTTAGAACATTGTTTACATAATAAAGATATCACAGTGTATATCAAAATCAACCATTCATTCATTTAAGAGTATCCAAGCTGAAGGATCAGTATTATGTAGTACAAAATTTGTGATCATATATTTGAATTCAAGTCGTTTTTTCTTACAGATTGCAATCTTGAAACATTTCATCACTGAAACACAAATTCCAAAGTAGCCTTAGCAGATGAAAAACTCTTCAGAGAGCTAATTCAACTGAGTGAAAGTACATCATGACCAAAACCAGTTTCATGCTCCAAAATACCAGTTTGCATTCTCAAAGCAAATCTGTTCCCAGCTTACTAAAACTTATGCTTTTTTTTTTTTTTAAATAGATATAAGAAAAAGAAGAAAAAAAACCCAACAAAACACAGAAAGAAGCTTCCTTACTAGGTCCCAAAGGGCCACACAGGAAAAAAAAATAAATCCCTCAGTCCTTAAGTGACAGTTCCTAAATGGACCTAAGCTTATGTCACCAGTCACTTCTATTCCTGAAGCACCCACAGCACCACTATTATTTAATTTCCTTCCAGTTTTAGATTGGTTTTGTTGCTTTTAAAGCTGCTTATTCTTCCCATGGAGTAACTAATAGCAAAAAGTTCACCTGAGGTAACAGGACAAAGTCAACTCAGTTGTACTATGAATAGTGCAGTACCAGCACATTACTGAACTTATCAACTTCACCTCGTGGAGGGTCAACCTCACCTATGCTGTGCTGACCAACCTGGGCCAGCTCCCGATCCATCATTTGCTTTCCTGTAACTGTAAGAAGCCAAGTACCAAAGTAATCTCCCCTTCTCCCCCCATAAAAAGCAGTCAGAGCCGCTTCTCCATCATGTAGCAGGAATTGTTCTCTTTTTTGTCAGACCAGAAGCAAAGCTTATTTTACCCTTTCAGGTAATTATTCCTTGTTCTGGTAAGCCCAACACCTGCGTTCAAGTCTCCACAGTGGATCTGGACTGATCATCCCCAACAGCCAACAAGAACCGTCTTTCTCAAGTTTTTTCCTTCACTCTGAATAATAAGCCAATGCCTGGAACTAAGTTTAATTTCCAACAGGTTGGGTATTTGCCATAAAGGTTTGGGGGGGCAGGGGAGTGACCATAGATGTACACCCCTGACAGATAAGATTATTGCAGCCTGTGCCAAGACATCTTGTGAAGAAGCTAAATAGCCTCCTTCACCTGGCCCATGCTAATTTCTAGACATCCTTACTTCCAGTCTTACAATAGGTATCTTCTGAAAGGTGAACTAAAATTCTTTGTATTAAGTGTGAATTTAAAAAGATAGTTGATTTTCTTTGTGAAAAGAAAATGCTACTCTCTTCCTGAGTGGAACTGGGAAAATTACTAAGCACATCAGCAGTCAGAACTCTAACATTTGTCAATTCTTGTTCTTTTTGAACAAAATAACAAAAATTATGTATTTGAGGAAGTGTTGTCACAGAAAGTAGGGAAAAATTATCACGCCCCACTATGCAGTCATATATTTTACCTTTACTATAGGTGAAACTAGATCTAAAGTATCTACAATACTATATTTCAACTTCAATATTTGTTGATATCTCCATTAAGCAGTGTATTTGCATGCCTACTGCTCCTCTCCCTTAAAAAAAAGGGGAGTAGAATTTCACCATGGGGTACTATATTTACAAAATTCCAGGCTAATGCTGTTTTTTAGACACTGCTGCAGTTCATACCCAGTTAAAGATTTCAGTCAGAGCGAAAGTCCCATTCTGGAAGTCTTCCCATTCTGGAAGACTCTATGCCAAATAAATTATCTGACTATTATTAATACAGCTCCCCATGTATCAGTAATACACTCCACAAAGTGTGGCAACCTAACAAATACAATGTACTTGTCCTATGAGTCGGCTATACTAGAGAAATAAGAGCTTGAGTCACAGAGGAAACCATGGTAGAGAAGTAATTGAAATCAAAGTGCTTCATATACTGAAGACTTTTGAACAACTAAAGAAACTACGTAGCAGAAACAGAAAAGCACATGTAATAAGGTCAAGCACAAAAACCATACTAAGATACAAAAGCTGTGAGGAAGGAGGAGGGTGGGAATCAAAACCAACAAAAAATGAGAAGTACTGGACATTCTCACCACTTCATCTTGTGTCCCTAAGCTTCAATTATGAAAAAATTACAGGTGTAACAAATTTAACAGCAAAGTGCTTCTGCTTTAGGACAGGATGTTTGAAATAGAGTATAGCTTTAGTTCTATTTTTTAGAAGCCAGTTCTACTCTTAAAAGCCACCTATACAAGGAAATCTCTAACTAATCTATCTATTAAGAAAAATCAAGCATTAAGAATCACTACAGTACACTCAAGAACAGCTGGAAGGAAAACCTCAGAGTCTTTCCCAGACATTTTGACATATAAATGAGTTCTCTTTCCCACTATCACATCTTTTCAGGATGAACATCAGTACTGCTTGCACTTAACTTCTGCAGCCTGCTAACACAATCTGCAGAATAACCTCGTACTCTTGCCCCAAGAAACACACTCTCCATGTATTTCAGTCCACTTGTCATGTAAACAACATGCTGAGTCTCTACCCCTTCAGCACCCCCAATAAAGTTGTGAAGGAAAAAGGAAAATCATATATA